ATGGGTACCCAATGCAGTACCTACATTAGTATAATTACTAAGAATTTTCGAAGTACCCATATCGGGTACCTTGCTGAGGCTTTCTCAGTACATGGGTACCTTGAACTCAGTACTTTCTCTAGGGTTTGTACTTCTTTAAAGATCATCAAGCGTCGTGTTTCGAAAGATTATTTATTTATCAAGCTAGCAACAACACATTTAAAGTAAAAAGAGAACATGTCTTTTATAGTTCATTCTACTATGATACTGTTTAGACTTTCTTAGAACAAAATATTTTTCTTAATACCAGGAAAATACAATAGTGTCATACTTTTTTTATAATAGTAAAGATTTATTCGAAAAGAAGTCCAGTACTAAAACTATGATAAAATAGGAGAAGCTCGTTTGACATCTGCAGATTAACAAATAGGATCAGTACAAATAATACAGTGTTCCAAATGTCAAGCACTATGCATATTTTGGATAAAATCAATATAAGATATATGATATCAATGCATCGGTCAAATACACTATCAACGCGGAAACGTTCATCTTTTACAAAAGCGAACTCTGTCTTCGAATTAAACTAATGACTATCTTAACTACGAAAACTTTCTCCTGACTCCTAGTAATATTAAAATTATAATGTGATCACAGCCCTACGTTGTCTAGGCTTCGCCTCATGTAGCTCTTGCCTCGTCATCGCCTCGTCCCTCGTCAAGTTTTCAAAATTCTTCTCCGCGGGCCGCGCCCCGTAAGCTTTCTGTCCCGTCACCGCCTCGTCCATCGTCAACTATTGATAAAGCACTTTCTCATCGATCCTCCTGAATCCGGAAAATGTTTGCTAACAGGAGCTATTCATTGTTTTATTTTAATTCACATAAAGAATTATCTCCTTTACTATAAAAATGGATAAAAAATATAAACATAATATCTTTCATTGAAGCAAAAATAGAACACACACTAACGTAGAGATAAGGACAAAAAACAAAATAAAATTATCTAATCATTTCTGACTTGAACGCACTACTGTTATATCGTTGACTGTTCGAGTGTTTAGAGTAGCTCGACGTTGTGTGATTATAACGCCAGCAGCAGACAACGTACGTTCTACAGCGGCTGACGACGCCGGCACTGCAAGTATCTTCTGTGTTAACAAACTTAACAAGGGTAGATTGTTCTTTTCTTTTCGCCAGAACTTAAGAGGATCATAACCGCCGTTCTTTTCTTCTTCTTCAATGTCTTGCTCATTCCTTTGGATAAGTTTCAATTGCAAATATTTTTCTAATTCAATTTGCCCGCATGTTCGTTGTTTAGAAGAAGTCTCATCATCACTGCTGTTGTCCTCAAAATCTTTCATATACGTTTAAATTTCTTCGTTTTTGGTTCTACGCCTAGTATCACTGTTTTTTTCTGTTTCTTTTCTTTCTCAATGTTAGGCGTATCAAGTTCATTCACGATTAGTTTATAATACTGTTTTCTTTTGAAAAATTAAGGAAGCATGAAATTCAAAACTTTAAAAACAGTTTTTGGAGTAGATGAAACTATCTAGATGAACTATCTATAGGTAAAAAGAATACTTCGTTTCCGAAATAACGGGTGGTGCAAAAGTTCTGCATTAATTTTGTTTTTGATACAGCGTTGGAATGGTATATCAGAGAGATTTTATCCTTTGTTAGAAAGAGCAAAGTGACTAGTACAAAAATATATAAAAGTATTTGATCGAAAATGTTTCCCGAAGGCCACAAAAATCTTAGAACAAGAGGCATCGGGAAACTGTTCCGCAACTTTTTCGAATTTAGAAAAAACTTCGCTCAATGAGAAAGTTTATCTTTTTATTTGTTTTACTCCGAGTTTTATAATGTTAGGATTGCTGCACAAAAAAGAAATGTTCTTCGTGTTTTATAACGGTCTAAATGAACGCTTTTATAACATCCTATTTTACCACCGATTTTTTTCATCACTGTCGATCGCAGTCGAAAAAGAGATTCTAGTCCTAGAGAGAAGTTGCTGGAAACTATATACTTAGCATGAAAAAGAAGACTTATTAAATTCTCTACCAAACGAAATTATTTGGAATAGAACACAGCCGCTCTGTGAGCTATTGGAACAAAAAGTTGTTTTCGCGTTGTAAATACCAAATTGAGTTTTTAATCAAAGTGTCTTCTGTTCAGTCTCTTGTACTGAAGGCCAACTTTTTTAATATCATACGAAAGCCTTCATTGTAATGAACAACTTCATATATATGGTGCTCGAAAACATAGAAAACGGGTAATGAAAAAGGTCAAGCAAATATATTTGAGTACAAAAATTGTGACCGACGTTGCGGAAGAGTTTCCTGATGCCTTTTGTTCTAAGATTTTTATGTCCTTCATGAAACATTCCCGATCAAATACTTTTATATATTTTTGTACTAGACACTTTGCTCTTTCTAACAAAAAAAGGATAAAATCTCTCTGATGTACCATTTCAACGCAATGTTGCAATGTTTCATAAACAAAACAGCGCAACAATCACCAGTGAGTTTGAAAGTCAGAACATATAGCCGGCATGAGAAGGATGATATTACGGCTCGAGAATGTTGAAATAAAATTGTTCATTTAATAAAACTGCCGAAGTTTTGGTTAATTTCTAGTGAGATTTATGCGAGATGTGACAATAGGTGACGCTACCAATAACAGTGCGACCTGTAATTAATTACTTTCCGCATAGTATGGACCTCATTAGATATTAACCAAAACTTCGTGAGCACCGTTTTATTAAACGGATAATTCGATTTCAATACTCTCGACCCTTAATACCATCCTCCTTATCAACTCATTCCGCCCATATGATCTGTTTCGGTCTTCATATATACAACGGGTGTGCCATAAAGAATGGGTATTTTGTATTTCCCCAATAACTCTGTCAGTTTTCATCGAATCGAACTAATTTTTTTTTAATCGATTCATCGTTCAATTCTCTATCAAACCCTAAAAAGGTTTTTGTTCTAAACTCGAAACTGAACAAGGTATTGTAAAAATAATGAATAAGCCCAGCATGTCTAACTTTCAAGCTCGAACACATAAACTGTTTTATCATTCTTTTCGGCGATAAAGCTCATCTGAAAAATATTAAATTATGATTTATTGTACAAAAAACTGTGCTCTTTCTGGTCGTATAAAACAAAAGACGTCTCGGTCGAAACCAGTGAAGCAAAATCTATTTTTTACTTGCCAGGTCGAAAACTGATGATTTGGTCTTGATGTTTAAACCTGGCAGATAGTGAAAGATTGGTTGATGAGTGGTTTTGTCGTATAGTTGGTATTTCAGTCACTAGTAAATCATTTTGTCGTGGTATGATTAGATTATTATCGTCCACTTGAATCGTTTGACTTGTTGTGGTAGCTGGTGTCGGATTTGCTAAATATTGTTTTATTAACATTTGGCAAAATACATCCCTGTCATGAAATTTATTTTTATTGGCATTGTACCAACATAATGCATGATCTGTTAAATGTAATGTTGTCAATTTTATCCATTTGAACTTCGTATAATCAGCTAAATCAAATAATAATTCAATACGTTGTATCCATGTTCGAACATCTTCATTTCTGCCACTAAAATCGACAATACCGTCTAATAAATGTTGAATATGTACTTGTGTTGCTACACTGAGTGAAATATTGGGTAATGACGTTGCTGGTTGGTTATCATCAATAATACTTGGTTGTTGTTGCTATAGTGATAGACTATGCTCCTGTGTGGTTGATGTCATTACCTTAACGAAGGTCGATGTGGATTCTTCGTCATCCTTCTGTTCGATATCACTCCCGGCTGAATAATCGTGATATTGTGGATTATTAACATTATCGTTACTGTATTCATTGTCTTCATTGGGATCTGTAATCATACTATTGATTGACAATAAACTGGGATTGATTGTGCATGATCGTGTTCTATCTGCTATATTGCTCATAATTACCGCTTAAATACGTGAATTTTCACCTACTTGTAATAGCCACTAATATGAGTTCGTCTTGTTGTGATGATATAATGTTCGCAACAAGCACCGCTGTCACCAGTTGTTATGTGGCTCTAGTCATTATAGTTGTAACGCTTTGCTGCCCCCAGAGATTGTTTGATTTGTATCACTGAATTTGATATGATTTTAAAAGTTTATTTAGAAACTGAACATGATATCTTTTGCACAAAAATAGCGTATATTTATATGAGAGTTTACACGAAAAGCGGAATATTCTAGAGTTGATGTACTAGACTGGGAAACTGGGGATAGATGTAAGCGATCAGAGAAAATAAAGAAACCAAGAACTAACACTGGGGAAGTTCCTGATAAAAAGAAAGAGAATGAATACATATATATATATATATGTATGATACCTATCATACAATTGTCTCTTATGGCACGTCTTTAATATGTGTCAAAGCAGATATGATGCAATGTAGCATCTTATATAAGGATATCTGACTTGGTTGCTTATGTAAGAGGATCTCCTTACATAACAGAGCCCACCCCAGTCTACCCGGTGGCTATGCCACTACTGGCAGAAAAAACGTAATTTTTGCTTGACCTAAGCATGGCTTCTCGTAGCACAACTCATGAGATTTCAAACAAAAAAAGTTTGACTTAAACCGTTGTATTTCGGCTAAATTACGTCAGTTTTCTTAGAAGAGCCAAAACCACCGTTTGAACTTAGTGTTACAATAACTTTTGAGTTTTGAGTTTAGAACAATTGTAAGGCAAACGTTTCTTTACAAAATGAGGTGACTGGAAGCGCTATACGTTTGTTTGTTTAAATAATAAACGGTAAATACTAAATGCTACTTTTCCAGAACGAAGATTGAGAAGGGCGTTTTGTGTTTTACCTTTAGTTCTTAAATAACGAAACGAATAGAGCTTCAATACACCTCATTTTGTAAAGAAACGTTTGCTTTACAATTCTAGATGTTCCACAGCACTACACATACTTTCGTTAAAAAGATATAAGCACAGCAAAATATCAAGATTTCGTCATAGAATTTCATTCCGGTATCGGAGTTATCTGGCCGTGCCGATATGCATGTTTATACAGTGAGGAAGCATATCACAATCGGGAAATATTTAACATTTTTACGTCGGAAGAAAAATTTCTACTATATCCCGATGGGATATAGATTTTTGAGTAGTCACTTTTGTTCGAAAAAAAGGTCCCTGACGCGAAAAAAGAGTTAACCATCTAGTATAGTTTTTCTTCCTCTTTCTGATGGTGATGTCAAAACTTTCAGCGAACATCATCATTTTTCCACTAACGAATTTTATTTAAAAATTTAAATTTATATCCCGATTGGGCGATATGTTTTTTTCTTATATCTCGGTCGGGATATATTTCGATTCAAAACGGGATGTATATCTCGATCACGATGTAGAACATGCCTCTCTAGTCTTATAAATGCTTGTCGTTCTGCGATTTTGAAATTTTACTCGATACAGCGTCTGTACCCGTATTCACATATATATGCATATTTATTATCAGCTGAAAACAGTCCAGCTACCTGGAAGAGTGAAATATTCTCTCGTAAAGTACTCTCATGCTACCACAAAAAACGTTTCCTTCATATCTGGAATGATGCTTAAAATACTTGAACCAAAACTAAGCATAAACGGACACATACTCCGACAATCCCAGTATCCCAAGCATTTATAAATATACATAGATATATGAATACGGATACACGCTCTGTATCGAGTAGAATCCGATATATGCACACATATGTCAACATGATATATATTTGGGACGAACTGAAAGGGCAGCAAAGAGATTGAATGAATCTCCCTATAACGCACCTGTTGTTTTCTTACATAGATTAAGGGCATTTATATTAAAGTAGAGAAAATGATTCTTTCAAGAAGTGGAAATGCATTTCTTGTTTGTTCAAGGGCTAATATCAAAAGATTTTTCATAATTTATGAACATTATTCAAAATTATATACGTTTTTCCAACATTTTGTTTTTGTTTTATCCTTTCTAGCATAAGATTAGTAATTATCATGCATGAAAACTATCATTCAGATGATTTATATTTCACTTTTCAAGAATTATAATTATGGAGGAGAATCAATTCCGATTAGTGTCCTGGACAGGCAGAACGCATAAAAAACATTCATCTGTGTATCCTGAGTATATGCAGACAGAAAAACAAGAAAAATTTTGGCTTTAGAAAGCAATCAAAGCTCTTATTGTCCCTCACTACTTCTTTTTTCACTTCGAAAATCGATTGATAAGGCGCCGCTAATTCGAAGTTCGAGCACTATTTTACTTTTGACTCATTTATACATCATTCGATAGAGAATTTGACGCTAATTCCGAATATGGGACTTTTAGCCTCAAAATGTGGAGTTTTGGCTAAGAAATTTTGAAAATACTTGAAGAGTCTTAATTTTGAGAGAAATGAATGCATTATGAAAAAAATTGTGTTTGTTTTCTCCTTTCATTTTGAAAGACTTCCGTTATTTTTTCCTTGTTCAGCGTATGAAAATGGGTGTGGAAATGTTATTTAGAACTCGATCAAATATAGTGTGGTTAATATAAAAATTTACGTTCACACATATCTTAAAAACCGGTAGCTACTTCTGCAAATCTATCTAGTATTTTCCGTTAAGAGATGAAGCTAAGTTTTTATACCGTTCGATTCGTCGTCAAAAGTACCATAAACTAATGTAGAATTATTTTAAAAATTCCTGTTTATTGTTGAGAAATAGGACTTTTCTATAAACCTAACCCAAACGGGAAGGTCATTTTTCAATAAAATTTTCGTTTTTCAATCAAACATCGTCAAATGATGTTCAAATAGATAAAATTTGATGCTGAATTCGATGACGACATTTTCAGAACCTTTGGAGGTCTTTCAGAGGATCTCTAGAAACTTTTGCTAGGACGAAGTTTATTCTTAATGTTCCTAGACACAGTGGCAGCCTGAATCCCGACGCCATCTTACAAACAGCCTGTAAGGGAGCCGGGAATCCTTTCTATTGGTCCAAACTTGGACTAACGGCTGCATTTGCAAAATAAACAAAGAGAGCGATTTTAAATAAAATCTTTCCCAGCGGTTCATTAGTAATTAATAAGCGTTAGTTTTTGTACGATTCTGTTCAAAATGCCAAAGGTTACTCGTCAAAAAAGTCATATGCGTAGTTTGTTTCATGAGAGATGTTCGGTAGAAAATGTTTCCAGTCAACATTCGTCTGAGGAATCCGTCAATCATGATGAACAATTCATTAATCGAAAACAAATGAAATTAATTTCACAGATCCTAATATATTAACCGAAATTGGTGATTTATTTACATTATGTCACGAGCAAAGCAATCGTAGAAATTTAAGTGTACTAGTCTACATGATATTGCGACATTTGGAGTTATCGTGGCGTGATGTTGATTCATTTTTATATACAATTGGTGCAATGACAGCAGAAACATGCCATAAATGATCTAATGTATTTGTAAACAATGATAATGAAAATTCCATTCAGGATGAAAGAGAAGGTAAGCAAACTGATGCGCTCTACGACATATATCCTGAATTGGAGGTGTATGCTCGAGCTTTTGTTCATGAAGAATGTGCAAAGAAATCGGCGAGTTTCACCGCACAAAGTTTGGCTGAATACATCGATTCAAAATTTTATGAAATAAATAATTTAAGAAAAACAGATGATGGTTTAGTGCGTTCTGTTCAGAGTTGTCGACTTGATTTAAGACGTTGGGGTGCAAGTTATGTTTCAAACACGCAAAGACCGTATTTCGAAGGGCACGAGCGTGACGATGTTGTAGCCCATAGAAAGAAATTTGTTAATTATTTTTTAAATCGTCAAAATGATTATTATTCGCTTACAAATGATGACATACCACAATGAACACTACCAACAAGCGGCAACCCTGCCATATTAATCTGTATGTGAAATAAAGTCTAACTTTCCTTGAAATTTGCTGTAAGGACTATTTTTTCTCTTAAGGCCATGACGAATCGACATTTCGAAGTTCTGAAATTAGTGCAAAAGATGGATCATAAATGACAACGCGCCGTTTTACTGTAAAGGCAGGGGGCAAAGCTGCATGATTTCCGATTTCCTTATAATGCAAGCTAGTGGTCCGTTCTTTCGTTTATCTGATATTGAATTTCAAGAAGCTGTCAAAAAATACCCAAGCTTACAACAGGATACGGAAGTTAATTACGTAAAGAATACAGCCACAGGAAGCATTAATGTCGGCGAAGATAATTATTTTGACAACATAATGATTCTAAGACAGTTTGAACGAATGTTTCAGTTGCTCGAATTTAAAACAGAATATAAAAATCATCGTTTGGAAATATTGGTGGACAATGCGCGAACACGCAGGGTTAAAGATTATTCTATTAATGATTTCGGGAAAGGATCAGGAACCAGGTGTCCAGTACAAATGATTGAATACACTGATCAAAATAATGTTAAACAAACATTAAATTGCTTTTTTACCTCAGATCCAATGAAAGGACAAAGTAAAGGTCTTTTTGTTCTAGCAAAAGAGCTAGGTTTAAACGTATAACAAAAATGTAAATTACAAGAATTAAAGTCAATCTTATCGTCACACTCGGTGTTTAAAAATGTATGTTATAATCTAGCATACTGTCCATTGAAGAAACTTAAAGCTTTCTTTATCCTTTTCTTTATTTTAAGGTTACAAAGCTCGAAAAGCTGGCTGCTACATATAATGTGAATAATCTTTACTGCGAATGTAACCCGATTGAGGGAGTGGGGTGTAATGCTTATTAACGGGTAAAAATTTTAAAACTGTAGAGATAATAACAGCAGCTATTTTTAATTCCATTATTCAATTTTTTATTAAAATTCGACGTTTCGAAAATACAATTTTCAAGAAAACAATAGATGACAAGACTATAATGTAACGTTACAGTCAAAAATATAAGTTCTACCGATATATACATGTGTTTATATATAAAATTCTAGAGAGTGAAAGAAATGAAAGAAAAGAATATTGTGTGAAAATAGACAAGTTATAACATTGAAACAGTCGAGTATGTCACAATTAGACAGTTAAGATGAATAAAAACAGAGGAGAAAATACCACTGGAGAGAAATTATATTTTGGTTGAATAGTATTCATATTATGATATCTAATATGAATACTATTCAACCTCCTGGATCTGGAACTAGATGTTTTGAGATGCCGTTTGGAAAAATGAAAAGTGGTACTGAGCGTACCGTTTAGGTTGATGACTCAATATGACGAGGGATTCTTTAATCAGAAGACGATATGCATTATCATCATTCAAAAGGATTTTACACCCGTTCCAATTGATTGTATGATTTGTGTCTTGAATGTGTCGAACAAGAGCAGATTTCTTTTGTTTAGTAGTAGGGTCAGAAATATCCTTTTCGGGGAGTGCAGAAGAGATTGTGGATTTTTCCGCTGTACGAGTAGAGCGTCTTAAGTTTGTCTGATTAGAATATGGTGTGACCGTCTTTCTTGATCTAATCTTTTTTATCGGTCCTGAACAGTCTTGTGTAGAAACTTCGTCCGGAGGAAAAGACCTTTGATTAGAAGATTCTTTAAGACTTTTAGGTGCACCGTGTTCGGCTAAACGCCGACATGTTTGTCTTACTGTTTTTCCAGCATATGTACTATCACAATCATTACATTGTAACCCATAGATTACGCCTGACTGTAGCAATTTTGGAATTACGTCTTTATTTTGGAAAATTTTTTTTTTCATTTCTTTCACTCTCTAGAATTTTATATATAAACACATGTATATATCGGTAGAACTTATATTTTTGACTCTAACGTTACATTATAGTCTTGTCATCTATTCGAAAATCAAATTCAAAAAGAGACAATTGAGCAGATGTCATAGAATTTATAACAGATTAAGATGCAATTTCCAAGATTATGTTACTGTACTTAAATATGCAAGATGTATCCGTATTATGGATGGTATAGTCAGAGAGGAAGTAAAGAATTGGTCAACGATACATTCTACAAAATTAAAAGATCTTCGAGATGCACAAGGTATCGACAATACAATAATTAGATTAGATCCAATAAAAAATTTATCGTCACGTATGTTAAGTAGTGTTGAACGGTGACCGGACTGAATGTCGCAAGACAAAATGTCGCGGACAAAATGTTGCGGACAAAATGTCGTATGGACAAAATGTCGCAGGACAAAACGTTGCAAGACAAAATATCGCGGACATATCGTTGCGGACAAAATGTCGCGGACAAATGGTTGGAAAAAAAACGTCGCATGTACCTATTGAATTAAGAAAAACTGATCGTGGAGACGATTTTATACTTTATGAAGATGATGAAATGATTATTTTTACTACAAAAAAAAATTTATCTTTGTTGAAAGAATGTAAACATTGTAAAATATAACTTATCGTAAACTCAATGAAAGAATAATACGGGTGGTCAATATGTATAACAAGAATCAATTGGACGAATATCTAAAAAACATTAGCGCTAGTATTATTATCTAAAATTTATTAATTTCAATTTTTGTAAACGTCATATTTGAATAATTTGATAGAGATAAAATTCTCCTAAAGATACACATGAGGCTATGGTATTAATGTAAAGAAGAGGTTATATGTACTTTGTCTATACAACATTTTGTTTCGTGAAACCATTTGTGCATGCGACGTTTTTTTTGCAACGTTTTGTACATGCAACATTGTGTCCATGCAACATTTTGTCCTTGCAACTATTTGTCCATACAACATTTTGTCCGTAACAATTTGTGCGCAACGATATGTCCGCGACATTTTGTCTCGCAACATTTTGACCTGCGATATTTTGTCCATGCGACATTTTGTCCGCAACATTTTGTCTTGCGACATTCAGTCCTAGCGCCGTGTTGAACATGAAGCTTTATGCAACGGTTTACATCATGCCTATCCGTTTACGAATATTGATCAGATACAATTGATTTCAAATATGGAGTATTTCTGTGCTAGATTATTAGGTGTTAAAACGTCTTTTTACCACTGGGAAGAAAAACCGGCTGATGAATTAACGATTCATAACTTGACATTGGAACAATTACAAACTGCTGGTAAAGTACGATCTTACGTAGACGCTTTCCAAACGCAGGCTAAACGTGAACTGAAATCGCTTTTAAGTAAAAATCGAAGTTTTCAGCAATGTCTTCGTAGTTTATCTAAAGATAAATCTGTTGTGATTACCAGACCGGATAAGGGAAGAGGTATTGTTATTTTGAACAGTTCAGAATATCTCTCTAAAATGAATAATCTATTGGCCGACACCTCCACATTTATTAAGATAGATACCGATCCAACTTTATTTAAAGAGGATCAACTAACACGAATTTTACTGCATCTACGTGAATGAGGGTTCATTTCAGAAAACGAATACGTTCGCTGTCGTCCTACAGGGTCTCGTCCAGCTCGTCTTTATGATCTCCCAAAAATACATAAAGATGGGGTGCCTTTAAGACCGATCTTATCTGCTACAAAAACATATAATTATGAACTAGGCAAGGTTCTTGCGAAAGGTTTGTCGCACTTACAAGACAGCCCTTTTGTTACAGAAGGCTCTTTTCACTTTGTCGACAAAATTTCATCATTTTCGTGGGACATGGTAAATTCTAAAATGATTTCTTTTGACGTGACTAACTTATTTACGAAAGTACCGTTAGAATACACAATGCAGCTAATTTTAGACAAACTATATGCAGTGAATGACAAGTGCAAAATAAAATGTAGCAAGAAATCCTCTTTATGTAGAACCTGTCAAGACAGAAAAGACGTGGCGCTTCTTCTTCGGACAGCAACTTCTGACACTCATTTTTCGTTTAACGGACAACTTTACAGACAAATAAATGGTGTGGCAATGGGTTCACCGTTGGCACCCATTTTAGCAAATATTTTTATGTCACATTTGGAAATTGTCTCTTTCCAGACTTACAGAAAGAAGGTGTTCTCTTCTGGACTCGCTATGTTGATGACACTTTTGTTCTTCTAAAAAGTGATTCATCAGTTGATAGAATTATAAAACTTCTGCATTCGTTTCTTCTAGACATAAAATTTACACATGAAAACGAAAATGAGCGATCTCTTTCTTTTCTGGACGTAAAAATTATTCGTACTGCAACAAACTTTCAAACAACAATCTTTCGAAAGAAAACGTATACAAACTTACTGACTAAATGGAAATCATATGTTCCACTTAGTTATGAAAAGAGCTGTGTAGGCAGCATGATTAATCGTGCTATACGCATATGCTCTTCATATAAACTACTGACGGACGAGTTGGATGAAATTCGACGGATAACTCGACTCAATGGTTATCCATGATCTTATGTGGATACTCTCATTGGTGTTCTAGTTAATAAATTTCTATATAGAACTCTTAAACTATAAAGAATCTTTAGATTTACCCAGAACATTTACAACTTTTTGATTTGACATTTATCGGAACTTTTGAAACTATTAGCACTTTTAGACTTTTTAGAACTTTCATACTTGTGGAGAACTATTTGAAGAATTTTTAGACATTATTTCGAACTTCAAGATTGTTCGAGAACTTTTGATTTTTAAGAACATTTTTAGGCGTTTTACGCTTATCCAAACTTTTAGATTTATCGACAACTATTAGAATGAAGTATATGATATGAAAAATTCACGCATTTCTTTTTAAACTTTAAAATTGTTAATGGATTTTGTACGAACGTGCAAATATAACTCGGAAATACGTATTCGAGTTGTCTGCTAGTTCGATGATTGTTTTCATTAAGTCTTTCGCGACAGACGAAACATATCACGATGGTCATTCAATATCTATTCTTTGTGTGGGAAAAACGACAACAGAAATAGCATTCAAATACGATAAATATACTGTATTCATTCTGCAATGAAGGAACTCATAAAAACAGAAGCCAAGATGCAATTTTTAAAGCGCTAAACTTCGTGTGAAAAAGCAACACATCGAACATCAAACTAAGTAAGCAAGGACGCATTCTCTGCTACACAAAAAGAAGAAACACATGTTTAAATTATAAAAAATTGGGTACGAAGGGAAAAAATAAAAAAGATGCAGAAATATCGAGCCTTATACAGAGACTCTTAAGCGAGGTCTAAACACGTCGTGGTGGCTTAAATTTATTTTAAAAGCGCACACACACACTCCCCTAGACTATTTGTATCAAAGAGCAAAAATCGTTTGTCGTTAAACCTGTTTATGATGAATAATATAGTTCTGCACTATCTAGAACAATACCGAGATTATTTCCACCAGCAGCTAACACTTTGTCGTTTGTTAATACGGATGCTGTATGATAAGCTCGTGCGGTACTCATGCTACCAGTAGTTGTCCAAGTTCCTGTTGACGGATCATACACCTCAGCAGAACTACCATTAGTATCAGGTCCACCAGCAACTAACACCTTCCCATCTGTTAATACGGATGCTGTATGACCAGTTCGTGCACTACTCATGCTACCAGTAGTTGTCCAAGTTCCTGTTGACGGATCATACACCTCAGCAGTAATTGAACAACCACTATTATTACTATATCCACCAGCAACTAACACTTTCCCATTTGTTAACACGGATGCTGTATGACCAGTTCGTGCACTACTCATGCTACCAGTAGTTGTCCAAGTTCCTGTTGACGGAGCATATACCTCAGCAGTAATTAAAGGACCGAAATGATTATACTCTCCACCAGCAACTAACACCTTCCCATCTGTTAATATGGATCCTGTATGAAAGGATCGTGCACTACTCATGCTACCAGTAGTTGCCCAAGTTCCTGTTGACAGATCATACACCTCAGCAGTAATTAAAGAACCACCAGTATTATTATATCCACCAGCAACTAACACTTTCCCATTTGTTAATACGGATGCTGTATGAAAGCATCGTGCACTACTCATGCTACCACTGTTTGACCATCCTGGAAGGAAACATTTAAATGTATTAAGCATATACTTTATTTATGCGTACGGTATGTCACTCAGGTGCGTAAGATCTTATACTACGTGTTATAAAACAAATCTTTTATCAGACAGCAACACAAAGCAAGAAAACAACAACAAGCCTACCAGGCAGCAAGGTGAATAGAAGTCAACATGCGCACTGTTTTATCTTGAACCTGGTCAAACGCCTCGATGGTTGCAAGACAATGCACCAAGAAAAGGTACAAAGCATTTTTCTAGATAACAATTAGCGGTCAACGCAATGAAGCATACGTGTTGACTTCGCGTCCACTTTATGATGATTGGGTTCGAAACAATTATAAATTACAAACAAGGGGGAAAAAGCAACATAAGGCTAGTGTACCCACTCCAGAATACCTTTATTCTAGAATGCCATTCTGTCATTTCAGAATACTATTCTGATTTTTGTTAGACAAGCTTTCAGTCGAATTTTTAGGTGATAACTACAGGCGAAAGCAAACCTTTCATTTTAATACATTGCACGGTTTTTTCTTCTTTCTGCATGTATATTCGATATGTACATGGTCTAGCGTGTGTTACCACCCATGTACTGGAAATCAGCAATTAATCCTGAAAAATCATACGGTCAATCGCGATTAATGGCCGATGTTTTGGTGACTTTCAGGTGATTTTGGCGATTAATAGCAATTAATTGACGATTTTGTTTCTAGGTGCTAGGTTCGAACCCATCTTAGGAAATACATATCTTTTTCTGTTTTTTCATTGTTTAGTATGTATAATGATATGTACATCACTCAGCAACGGTCTTAGCACCAGCTCAATCGGAGCCTTGCCGACGAATCGATTTTAGTCATTTCTCAGATACCAGCTGTTCACTTGGCTTCTCGGCTTAAGACTCTAAGAGACTATAAAGACTCTTGACAACTCCACTTTACTCTAAAATAAAAAGATGATCTAGAGAGAATTGATTTTGGCGTTGAAATCGTGTTTCTTATATACATACTTCACGGCAAAATAAAACGGTGAGGAATTTAATCGTTTAAAACCAACAATTAATCGCAATCAATTAATGATTTTAAAAAGAAGGAAAAATCATCGAAATCGTCAATTAATCGCAATTAATTTCAAATTGCGATTAATTGTGAAAGATACCGCGATTTCGTCGACGTGGGCAGTCAATACAAGAAATAAAGTATCTTGCGACAGACTTTTACGTGTACAAGGAAAATATTTATTTAGGCGTCATTGCTTTTTCTAACGACAAATCACAACTTTTTTGTTTGACATACGGGATAGTAGCAAATAAATAAAATAAATTCTGGTTCTTCTGATATCTTTATTTTGTCACAGATTCAAAATTTTTGCTCGTATTTAGAACCAAAACAAAAAACTTTCTCCTATTCTAGAATGCCAGTCCGCCATTCTAAGGCGACATTCTGCATTCCAGAAATTTTGTACCCAATGTGCTTTTTACCCCTTGATTACAAGTCTGACTAACATATTTGAAATTGGTCATGGACAAACTACGGTGGGCAAAAGAAGTCATAGAAAAATCGAGGAAACGTGGCAGTTTTGTCAGTAGTCACTTTGTAAGGGTGACAATCGCGGATCTCTAAGTACAATAAGGCATCTACTTGTCACAAGTACAAATCTCAGTGACAACGCCAACAGCTAATTATGCATACGACTTGGCCGATCGACTCGAAAAAAGATTGCCCAGATACATTCATCACAATTTCCGTAATTATCGAAGTTCCCAAAATTTGGGAGAGCCTTCTCGTCCCTTATTGCGATAACAATATATTTAATGGAACTTCCGAAATTAATTTTTAATGTATCAATAAAAGAATCAGTGGGATGGGGAAGAAGAAGAAGGCTACTTGTTTCCAGCGTGCCGTCAAGCACAATTCATAGTCTTTTTCAATTTCGTCTAGAGTTTACTAGAACTGGGGAATAGAGATGTGCAACCCGACCCGATCCGAAGGTTGGGTACGGGTACGAAGTTGTCGGATACGAGCAGAGCAGTTATGGGTACGGGTTCTATTTTTTTTAATTTATCCAAAATCCGGAAGGTTTTAGCGGAAAACCCACAAAATTTTAGTGAAAAAATACAGCAATTTAGCTAACATACATGGCAGTTTAAAAAAGAATTACTTGAGAACGTAATGATAATGTGACATCTTCAGTCGAAAAGAAAAAGGAAAAAATTTTTAGGTATAAGTCGATTACGGGTCAGGAACGGGTACAAAGTTGTCAGGTCGCGTCGGGTACGGGTACGAAAATGATACCATCTCTACTGAAGAATGCTGTGAAAGTATAATAACAAGGTATCCCATAACAACTATACATTTGGTTGTGTGATGGTGTGTTTCTGAAGCAGAGTCTGACGGGACAGGACGGTGAAAACCCAGGCGGGATGGCACGAAGAAGCCATCCCGTCTGGTTCCATCAACATTGTTCAATGTACATTTTTGGCCAAGAACAAAACCTACCCATGTAAAATATTTTCCCATTGAGCTGAAAACAGATTCGCATTCACAAGAGGCTGGAAGCGCTTATTTTTTTCAATATGAAGTGCTAACCAGTTGCTTCCCACGTGGAAAGTGTTTTCAAGCACTTGAAAGCGCTTCTGCATGGAAACGGTAGCGTTTTCGAAGTTTTCTAAGCTGTTGCAAATGCACAGTTCAAGTTAAAAAAACTATAGTTTATATTTTTACATGTAACGGTTTTATGAGATGAGGCCACTGGGCCGTATCATGACTTATCAGCAGGGCCGTATCAGCAGGGTCTTCGTTCTTGCCTTGACTCACTCATTCTCAATTAGTGGTATCACAATGAATAAATATCGAGCAAATCTTAAGTCAAGTCATATGGATAAAAGCTTCTTTCTTTAATCAGTGTGGTCTGCACTGGAGAAACTATAGAATCACTGGCGAATCTACAGATTCGCTAATTCTGTACATTCTCCACAACATATGTATGCCAATGTATGTATCCACAATACAATCAAAAGAACCGAAATTAAACAGATTAAAATAAATTAGAATTTAAATACGGCAGAGCGGCTGAACGACATGCGACCGGTCGGCATACATTTTGACATGCGCCCTAAGTGCTAATTTACTAATCAAAATCCAAAGTACTTTCTGAATTACAGACTCAGATACTTGAATAACTATCTAAGATCAGTAGACGTGCTTGAATTATCACTGATTTTGTATATTTGCGCTTGAGCAGATACGAACGAACAGACTGAAAGAAGAGGAATGGAGAGATAGATCACATGATTATTAATTAATCTCTTCCAGAATCTCTAGGACGAATGTTGAAAGTGTAGAGTGGGAGGCGAAATCGGGGAAAACTGGTTGAGACGCCAAAAACTTTGGCGGCATGAACGACTATGCAGTTGTGCATATATTAAAAAGTAAAGGTTTATGAAATGTCGACAAGGTCACTGTTTACCAGAGAAAAATGTGTGAAAGAAGTCTAAATCAGAGTTAGAACCGTGTCAGCACCCTAACCGGTAGAAATCCGTCCGGTCCGTTTAAAGGAAACTTTCGGTTTGTACGCGGATGAATGAAAGCAACTGGTGTCATATAATTTAGTTACATTACCACAACAGCCAGTTTTTTTTGACAGTTTCTCACGTTTTGAACAATAGCTTCTAAACCGGCCGTTTTTTTACCGAAATTGAAACGTTTCTTCAAAGCCGGTCACCGACGCAGTTGGAAAATTCTTAGCCACTTCCAGCTTTGATCTGAGTAATGAGAATCAGTAAACAGAAAAGTGACGCTTTTACTCGTTTGTCGTTCCAGCCTGTTTGCAATATTGAGCTATAGATACTTCAGTTTTCTGTATGATTTAAGAGTCTGCATTTCTAATGAAAGGGTTTTTTACCTTGCACTGTTGTTGTTGTTGTTTTTATTGTTGCACTGGTAGTTGTCTTGACAGTTGCGGTTGTAGCTCTTTTAGTAGCTAAAAAACAGACAACATACGTTCACACACCGCATTTTCCTTAATACGTATCATATCTCCTATTCACAGATCGAAAATGCACACTAGTAGCAGTTGCATACTTAATGTAGACTTGACTGTAGTTGTGGGCGGTCTCGTCGTTGTTATAGCTTTAAAGAAACAGAATTTAAGATATTTGGTTTTGCCTGCTTCGACCAAACTTACTAGTTTTGATTTTGGTCGTTGTCTTCGTGTTTGTGACAGGCGTTGTGCTGGTACTCGTAGTGGTTAAAATTTGTGATGATGGTGGACATATTTGTATCGAAGCTAATGCCAGTGGATAGCAGATTGGCTGTTGACATCGTATACTGTTAACACAAATTGTATTTGGTATTGAACATGTGAAATTCTGAGATGAATTGCATTGAACAACTGCGGTACAGGACAGAAGAGCATAGCCACAGATGCTTTGACTTTCATTGATGCTTGTTGCCAAAGTAAAACATTCACAATCCAAAGGAGGGGGCCCGCTTTTCATTGATTTTGGCCCACTGCTTTTCCGACCTAGTCTTGATCACATTTTGTAGAGAAAACGATTTTACACATTTTCATGTGCATATCTAGCATTATAACCTTATGGTG